GAAGACTTAACCTATTACAAATAAATTGCTGATGTTTGTCATACAGGATTATCAACAGGATGATTTCTATGATTGAGGCATTTACAAGTTCCAGTCTATACAAAACATTGGATAATACTGGATACTGAGCTTTTAAAGAACATTTGAATTCTAACTACAGCATAACCAACTTATGAAAGGTTTTTTAAAAACTTTAGGTATTAACAATTATCTGAGTCTGGCTTTGGAAAAAATACTGAATTTTCTTCATAAGACACTGATTCCTTCAAGGTCAATTTAATAATGAACTGCATGTTTTATTTTAAAGCTCATTTCACAATAAAACTCAAGAAGAAAACGAACTTCCAATTTCAACAGCAGGATGTTTTTCTAACATTGCTCATTTCTTTCCATTGAAACAAACACACTAGTACCATAACTTTGTTCTTTGTCTACTGAATCCACATCAGAAAACCAATGCTAATTGCATCTTTTCCATTAAGGAAGAGAATTATATACAAAGAGAAAGATGTTTTTCCCTATAGGTGCCAAGAGTACAAAAAAATCGCCAAATTAACAACTTCATATTTTAAAAAGTCAATTTACTTTTACTTAATTCTTTTGGTCTTTACCTTCCATTAGGAGGAAAAATAAGCAGAAAAAGATGCTGCAATTAACATAAAAGTGTTGTAATTATTTCATTTTCACATTTATTCTTGCACAGAAAGCCAAATGCCCAGACACATCCATTTCAGACAAGTTATGGCATCAGCAGTGCCCATTATTTCACAGAAACCACAATCAAGTCCAACTGGAAAAGGAAGTTTCAAAATGCTTCCATATGCACTAAAACAATTTTTTAAATCTTCTATTTTTTTTGTTCTGAGTCTTTAGAAATGGTTATTTCCTTGTTAGGTTTGGTAGCCTCATCCATCAGCTCCTTCAGTTGCCCAATCTGTTCATCACGGAAGTCATCAAGTTTTTCTTCTGTGAGCTGGATTCCATACACAGACTTTTCTCTCAAGTTTTGCTTGTCCTCATTAATTTGCTGCTGTATCAATGCTGCGTAGTTCTAATGAGGAAGGAATATAAATGTCACAAAATTGACAAATGCAGGTCAACATTTGAAAAGCATTTTACTGTAATAAGGACAGATACCTCTGCATTGCACACTCATTCCCCAAAGGAAAAAAAAAGAAAAGGATAGCCCCCCTTTCTGCACTGTTTGGAACATATACGTTTGTTCAGACTTACTTACAATCCTGTTACCACAGAAAGCATTTGGACCACATTTACTTAGATAACAGCATTTATGTCAGTGGACAGGCAACACAGTCAGGATGTATTACATCATTACCAAGCTAAGAACCATCAGAAAAGCAAAACCTTCTCAAGGTCAGAAATGGAAGTGGCCAATGGGTCACACCAGTAATGTGGGCAGAGCTGGAAAATTGCTTTCTCACCACTTTGGAGCAATCTTTGACCATTATGACTTTTCTAAATTACAACACTCAAAGCTCTGCAAGGACAGAGGTTCAGCAAATTTAATTCAGCTGGTGGTGCCACCTCTGACACTCTGTTCAAGGCCCAGCAGCATGAAAGCTGTGAGCTCCCATGCTCCCTCTGCTGCAGCAGCTCTCAGAGAAGCTGCAGTGAGTGAATTTGTCAAAAGCCTCATGGTGTGTGTACTTACCGAAGTCCATGAACCAACCTGGATGTTTCAAAGTTTAGCACACAGTTAAACACTGGGCTAAAAGGGAGCCTAAACTTCCATTTTTCTTAAGAGGAACTTAAAAACAAGCTCCACAATTAAGAAATTAATTTTGAAATAAATTTTTTAATTGGAAGAAATACAGGCTTCTCTCCTACTTCAGTACAGGATCCTCTAAAGCACCCTTCAAGTTTCAAGCACAACTCTGAATATAGTATTAGAAACTGACCTAAAAAAACCTATTTTCTGAATAATAAGAATGATGACTGTTACATGATAACACTTCTTTAAAAAAAAAAAACAACAGGATTATCTATCAGGAGTATTAAAAAGCACAGCATTATAGCAATGAGATATAGGCATTATTTTAATTCCCAATAATCAGCTAAAAGAAACCTCATTATTGCCTACTGAATTGTTCATCCAATGACCAGCAAAGTAACTAAAGCCACTACTTCAGATCCATGTCTAATAATTCCAGAGAAGTGAATGAGAAGAATTATATTCATGAGCATATGATAATTTTCAAAATGGCACCACTGACAAACATAAATACAGTACACTGTTCATGGACTGTGTCAAGCTTCACTGAAGTCAGCAGGATCTTACCAGCCCTGTTGCAAAGCTTACTTCATAGCTATTTCAAGAAAACAGATAGCTAAAACAGTAAACCTACAGCTCAGTGGTATTACCTCATGGTAGAGTTGGTGTAGGGTTTGAAGGAACCAAATAGTTTTTTCCCGATGATTGAACAATCAAATAGTAACAACAAGATTAAAAATTCTAATGGGTTAAGTCTTTAACTTTGTGATTTACAGAATTTCTTATCAGGGCAGACAGACAAATGTGATCGCCGAAGATATCAGCAGACCAAAACCACATGAACTGTGACACACCAACTATTTCACCTCACTCTATCTTCAAATTTCTGCACCGAACAATCCAGTCAATACTGACTCTGGATTCAAAAAATAAAAAACACCTCATTATACCAAACAACAACATACACAGCATGTAATTCAGAAACAATACTGAAAGCAAGCAAAGTGAAACTCTTCATATCTTACCAACAGATCTGACTCAACATACAAACCCCAAGAACCCCTCTAAGAGATGTTCCACACGTGTGGGTTCCACAGGGGGAGAAAAGTCCTCCCCACTGCTAATGAACCACCTGGGAGCAGTCTTGGGCTACTGCTGCAGGCATGGGCTATAGAACCTAGAAATAATCAAAGTCCACTTAAAGAAAGGTTACAATTTTACAAACTTTGCTGACCAGAAGATCATCTTTTCCAAAAATATCAAATTAATTACTGGCAACAAGTCTGCAATCTTTTTTAATCCAACATCAAAGCATCACATTTCACAAAGCATCAGCAGTAAATCATCCAAACCTCAGAAATGGTGGTCCTCAACAAAGCTGCAATACTCACTCACTGCAGCCAGACACAGCAATGGAGTGTACTTCTCCCATTCCTTGATGCCAGGTGTTCTGCTTCACAGCACTCCAATCTGGACTGTCACCGCTGGCTCTTTTCCCCCACTCGTTTTCTAGCAGAACAAATGTTCTGTACGTGCCAGAAAGCCTCAATAGTTGCAGTTTCACATCAATTTGCAATGTGAACAGAAATTCAAAACTGGACCCTGAAAACATGCTGGGGTTTGGTTGGCTCATGACAGAAGATGGAACTTTCTCAATTCACTTTACCAAAAGTCAGTGATGCACCAAAAAAATATGCTTCAGCCTTTACAAAAGTGCTGAAACAAGACCAACTACATGGCATATCTCATTTTGTCTGCCTGTGTTGCCAGATGAGGAATGAACAAAGCCTGGGATACTTAACTGTTTAACACATTACTGTCCTCTCAGAAGCCTATACTGCTATTATGTGATCAGTGAATTGTGGAAAGGTACTACATGATTCCATGGTACACAGTAATTTGAGATTCAGCTTCTATACAAAATGTGCCATTTTGCTAACTGCACATGAACTTTAATAGGCTGAACTCCAAAGTTCTGTAATAGGTTTAAAAGCATGATGAGGGAAAAAAAAGGATGGAAAAGCTAACATTTGTTCTTTCAATAATATACCCTTGGTCACAAAATATGATGATCACAGACACTCTCAGGTAATAAGGAGCAGTATGTTTGTGTATGGTCCAGTTTTCATTAGATACAGAATTTAACTATTTCCCAGTGCCATCTTCGCTACCAGCAGAACTGAAATAAATCATTGCTTAGCTTTCCCAAACGAGGAAAATTCCTTTGCTTCTGCTTTCATTTTATGTTACATATGTGTTCCAAATATAACAAAACTCCTTTGTCAATCATGACACAAATCCTTGGCAGCTTTTTCAAGGGCAGCTTATTCCAATTATAGTTCACAGTGTGCTCGCAGAACCAGAGACAGGAGACACAAAATGGAACACAAGTAAACCTGCACTTTCAATGATCCAGGCTTAGTGTACACAAGGATGGCAGAGGGACACAGGTGCTCTCCTCCCTTGCATGGAGGGTCAAGTATGGTAGGTCTGCCAGGGACAACCTATGCACCTTAGGGTTTTGTTAGGTTGGTTGGTTGGTTCTTTCTAAGTAGCTCTTACTGCAGTGATCCTCTGCCTGCATCAGCTGTACATTTTCTGGGTACCTACATGAAAAAAAATAAGCAAAACCCAAACCACCAGCTGAAGGGTAAAAGCCTTTACCCCTTGCATATGGCTGCCACCAGAAACAAAGAGGATCAGAAGCAAGTTCAAGTCCAGACAACCTCTCCTGACCATTTAGCACCAAAAGATGGCTGATTTACGCAGTATTAAATCCCAGCATCCTGGCCATCCATATCACAGACACTCTCCCCACCTTAAAGGAGGTCCAAAGTAACAGTCTGAGGGGCAGACTGGCCATATCCCTGCACTGCCATTTGCAGAGGGGCAGATACCTCACCTGAATGGTCTGATGCTCTCCTTAGGGATGCTGGTTCTGCCCACAGAGCACATTGGCATCTACAGTATGCAAGCTGAATGACACCACAAAGCTCTCTTAAAATCCTACGACATGATTAAATACTTGACCCTCTAAGTCATTTATACAGAAAATCAGAAGGTATTTGCTGTAATCCATAACCAAAGAGTTTTTTGTTTAAATTCACTCACTGAAGTGCACACACAGCTTTCCTCTGCTCTCTGATTCATAAGCATTCATAGAAAGCAGAAATTCATTAAAAGGGCAAGGGGATGGGTGACATTTGAGGTTTTAAAATGCCACACGTTACAGAAGGGGCGTCAGCCTTGTTGTTTTCAAAGCTGAGAAAGGCTTAAATAGAAAAATAAAAGCAAAAATCACACAATCAAAAGCCCCACTCTCTGACTGCCAGATATATAGACTCCTACCTGCTCCAGACCACACCAAGAGCTGTGTATCTCATATGCAAATACAAAATGCCAATAGACATTTTGATTTAATCCTAAAATTAAATAGGTTAAGAGCCCATTTGCCCATTTTCACTGGAAAGAACAGTAATCATAATTTCTATTTTCTTTGGCATCCTCCTCAACATGCACAATTCTACATTTTAAACAATCACTCAAAAAATCTCTGTATGATTCATTTAGATAGAAAAGGTCAGGACAGATATGTCTGTTCACAGTAACTACCTGTACAATTCACTTTCTTGCCACATCTTCTCTTAAAGAAGAACCTAAAATGCTTATCTTCCTTAAGCAGTTGAAGTATAAAGCTGAAGTGTTCATCCATTCCAAAAAGGCTATCCCCACTTGCAGCCAAATTAATGATAGTACTGATAAACAACACTATTGGGCCAGATCAGAAAACGCTACTCTGAGACATGTCAAACAAACAGGGCACAGTCAGGCACTACGAAAATGCTATCAGATTATTTTAAATTCATCTTTCTCAGGGTGACATAAAACCAATTAGGATGGTCTGACAGGCCACCCTCATCTCTCCCTGGAATTTAACTTCAAATTGCAGCATTTCAAATTCTTCTGCTGCTACTCAGAGCAAAATCAAACACATGCTGCTAGGACAGCAGCATGAAGAAACAGCTGCGAACAAACAGCACAGCCAGGAGCAACCTGTTGTTATTACTATGCAGAGATATGTTGAATGAATTATTTTACGGATGTTCAGACAGAATTCTGTAAATTATTTACTATATATTTTACTACAAAACTGTTTTGATGTTAAACCAACTGAGAACCAGCAAAAGATAAAATATTACAGACGTGATTTTAAAATGAGAGCTACACCTCATGAAGTTCCAGAGCATCTTCAAACATTTTGCCTGAAGCTATAAGTATAGTTAAAAATGCAATAACAAGCCCTGGAAAATTCTGCCACA